GCCCATCTGCTCCTCAAGTTCTCAGCCCTTCAAGCTCCGAGTGTCTGCCGCCACTGGGTTCCCATTTCTAGCTTGTAGCAGAAAGCATATCATTGGCCTACTTAGCTTCCACAATCATCTGAGCCTTTCTGCATATTAAATCTCCTCCTACATAGCAATGTATATCCTACTAGTTCTTTTTCTGAAAAACCCTAAATAACACAGGCACTAAGTCATCTTGCATCCAACTAACCATTTATTTCAAATCTTTGCTTTCTTTTCAAATACCTGTGAATCCCTATTGCTGCAAAGTGCTGCTTGAGCCAGCTTCACTGTCTTCCCACCTCCCTCCTTGGAGTGGAGTAAATTTTTCATGTGCTCCTTCTATATTTGTATGAGAGGTATAACTTTTACCTATTTAAAATTATGAAGGAAATGTTACACTGTTGGTGGGAATTTAAACTACTAAGTCCACTGTGGAATACAGCATGCACATGTCTTAAAATCTAAAAAGAAAAATTCCATTTGATATTATCTAATTATTTTTTGAAAAAGTTAGATATCATATTAGAGTGATACATGAATACCTATATTTATAGTAGTGCAATTTAAAATGGCTACTTTGTGAAAATGAGCTAAATATTAATCAACCCATGAATGAATAAAGAAAATGTGATCTCCATCTCACAACTACTCTGCCTTAAAAACCAATAAACTTGAGGGCTTAACAATGTAAGATTAAGAGGAATAAATCAGACACTCATGATTAAATATTGCATGCTTTCCATTAAAAGAGAGCCTCAAAAATATAAATAAAGAGCAAAGCAAAAGATGGTTAATGGGGAGCAGGGAGATCTTTTTCCAAATGGGAAGAGGAACAAAAGATGGGAGGTGTAACCCATGAAAAGGACTCAAGATGCAGCGTGGCCTGCACTAGCTCCCTACCATAACGTAGTCATTCTGTGCTCTATGCAGGCACTAATAAAAAAAAAAAAAAAAAAAAAATCAGACTTGGACAAATAGTTAATGCTCATTTATTTTAAACTTCTTTGTGAGAATGGATAAAATGCCTATGTGTCTCGATTTCTGATCTCTGAAGATCTTTAAAGCACATTTTGAACAAATGGCTGTGAGTGCGGCCATGTGTGAGGAGCTCATGGTACAGCCTGGTTACTGCTAATAACACGTCACAGAGCTGAAATTTGTCTAGGTGTCTTCACCCGTCTCACACACAAAGGTAAGCTTGGCAGATAACAGAGAGACTGACCAGCCTGGCTGCAGCAGTCACTTCAGAGTGTGCACGAAATCAAATTATCTCACTGTGCACCCTAAATACATATTTTCGTCAATTATTCACTTCAATAACATCATGGGGGAGGGTGAGCTAATAAAA